AGCGGAGAGAGCGTGAGAGTCCACGGACCCTGTCTGGTCCCCCAGGGCCCACCGCACCTGGTCCGGCACCATCTCTGGTCTTCCATTTGTGGGAGCCCCGACGTCCACGTCTGTAGCGGGCTCCCAAAGGCACCAGCGTAAATCAGAAACCATGACCTGTGATTTACTCAGGGGAGAAAAGAGCCAGCCCAGGAGAGAGGTCTCCAGACGTGATGCCTTCCCTCTTGAAACACTAGGCCGTGACTGCTAAAACCCAATTCTGCTGCCCCGGGGCAAGGCCTCCGCGTGGCTCGTGCAGGGCTGGGCGCAGGGCCAGGTGGGACGCAAGGTCAGCATCCCGTAGGTCCTTCCCCGGGACTCCGCCAAGTGCACGGACAGGAAGGGCCGGCCAGCCCACAGCTGGTCCAGAGACCTCGTCTGCGGGCCAGGCCACCTCCAGAAGACGGGACCGCAGTCAGGAGTGACAGACACCCTCCTATTCTTCTGCCAAGCCCCCGCATCTTCCGAAGGGTTCCGCACCCTTCGGGGTCCAGAGAACACACTGCCGGGGCCGTCGCTCCGCAGGATGAGGGCTGACAGACACGGGCTCTGCCGGAGGCACTAGTCTGCGGTGGGGGCGCCACCAGGGGCCCGTCCCAGAAACCTCCTTGATGACAGCTCTCAGGCCTCGTGGCTCCTCAGGTCTGGCTTCCGGGAGGCGGGCCTCACCTCCGGGCAAGGTAGCATGGGCGGCGAAGCAGGGCCGGCCCGGGTCTAGATGTGAGGTGGGGGCCTGTGCACAGCGGGGAGTGGTTTTGGCAGATCTGAAGCCACCCTCCACAGTCGTCTTCAGCAAGACAAGACTCCCTGTCTGTTTGCTTGGTCTCATTCCTCAACGGGTTCTACGCGTGTGGCAGGAAGAGAACGTCACACCCTGACCCCTAGACCTCGTGTCTTGGTGTAGACCCTGAGAAACAGAGAGCAGGAGCGCCTGAGCACGACCACAGGACGGCCACGTGGCGTGTCGGGGAGCAGGACTGCGGGCACGCTGGCACGCGGGGCCTTCACCCCGGAGGTACCGGGCTTGGCAGGGCCTGTGGGCGGGCCCACGCTATCTTCACTCCGGCAGGCTGTTCTCAAACCAGAACGGGGAGGGCACACGCACACAGGCCTCTGTGGCAGCACACGGCAAGGACGGGGCCACAGGCAGGGCTGAGCCTGGGAGACGGGCTTGTGGACAGAACGCCGAGCCCCGAGGGGCCTGGTGCGAGTCCACGGCCACGCAGACCCCCGTCTGTGTGCCGCCCACCTGTGCCAGGCAGGGGGCCAGCCTCCAGGTCCCCAGGGCGTCGGCCCGAGTGACCGCGTGCTGGGCCCCTCAGGCTGAGCCGCTGTGGACTTGATGGGGGTAGGCGACACCAACAAGGCAAGATCTAAAAGGGCCGTGAGCCCTCATCCAGTAGAGAACGCCCTCCTGGACGGAGAGGGCACGGCCTCTTCAGTTTGTGACGCGCCAGGCTGAGGAAGGCCAGGCCGGGAGCTGACCGCGCACGCCTCTCCTTTGCTGTTCCGTGACTGGCAGGAGGTGTGGGATGGCCCATTTGGGGGGCGGTCCCCTCGGGTAGAGCCCCAGCCTCTGTGCAGGGGGATCAGGTCTGCTGGCTCATTTCTGTCCCCCTCCCGGAGGAGCAGCCGGTGTCCACACTCCGGCCAGCACGGACCAGCCCTGGCTCAGGGGAGAGGAGGGGAGATGAGAAGGAGTCCCGGGGAGGGGACAGGAAAAGGAAGATTTTTCTATGTCTTCCCAACTGGATCAGGAAGGGTGACCTCCCGATGGCTTCAGTGGAAGGACCTGCCGTGATTCTGACAGTCTCACACGTGCCAGGGCCCGAGGGCTGGCTTTATGTTCTTCAACTTACTGGAGACCCTGAGGGTTCCGTCTACGTGGGTTTTATCTGTCAGTGCTTACCCTACTAGAAACGGATATTGAGAGAAACGGATGACACATAGCAATTCATTTCAGAACGATAAACCCAGTTTGTTAACATGGGTAACAACGCAACATCCCGTCGTGTGGCCTCTGGAAACTCCACTCTGCGCCATGACAGATGGGCTCGTGACCGTGGGAGAGAAGACCCAGAGGCGAAAAGGATGTCACTTGGCAGCTGCCTCCACAGCCTCTGTCCCCACCCCTGTGCGGGTGCACGGTCTGGGACAGCGTAAGTGTCTGCAGAGCTGTCTGGGAACACCACATCAGGGCACAGGACTGCCAGTGGTTCTGAACGTCATGGGTGGAAGGGTCGCCAAGCTTGAGAACGTGGACAGTTTCCGGGCCTCAGGGGACCTGGCCCACCCATGAAAGCTCCCACTGTGGACGTGGCGATGGAGACATCCGGGCCCCCGCTTGGCCCCTGCCTTGTGCCGCTGTGTTGTCCTGGGGCGCCACCCAGGCCTTCAGCGCTAAATGTAGATGGGACGGCCATGATACCGTGGTGGCTTCAGGCCGTGTCATAGCTAGAAAGGGCCTTGCAGAGAAGAGGAGGTCTCGGTGGGGCTGCTGGACCACAGCCTCCAGACGTGCAACGGGCCCAGAAGGTCAGGGTGGGACCGCTCTCCCTTGGCCCGCTGCCCCACGGGAAAGGTCTTGGCTAGAGGCGGCTCCTGGCTGCTGTCCCACTTGGCCCCTTTCCCCAGAGGGTAGGTGGGAGGTGGCCCACAGCAGGGGCTACACACTGACAGAAGGGGGAGAAGCAGGATGGCTGGGGGCTGGGGGGCTCCCTTCTCTCAGGCAGCTTCCCGGACAGAACGGTGGCCCGCACATGGTCCAGTGATGTCTGGGAAGTCAGACCTCTGGGGTGGGACGTGGGGTGAGCAGGGGTTCACAACCCTGGAGGGAGATGTGAGGCACACGTGGTGGGGGG